GGAAAGAGAGAACTCAGCTGGCTGCTTGTTGTTTTCATTTGTTCCCCTCCTCCCTTTCTTCCACCTCCTCCCCTCCTCCTCTTCCTCTTCTCTCTCATTTCTTCCTCCTTTTTCTCCTCCTTAGAGAAACAAATTCTATGGTTCTTATTGGCTGGGCTGCCGCTGGGCCAAAGCTGGTAGCCAGTTAGGGGGCATAGCTAGGAAAATGACCAAGTGCCCTGGACTCCCTCCTGGTGTTCATCCATTCTACAACTTTACATCTACAAAAGAGTCATGACAGTTACCTTGAAGTAGGGTGGCCAACTGTTGTGGCTTGCCCCAGACCAGTGGGGATGGGTGGTTTTCTGGGACGCTGAACTTTGAGTGCTGAAACCAGGAAGGTCCTAGGAAAACTAGAATGACCTGGTCACATTACCTTGAAGCATTATCATAGGGACTGCAGAAAATGCATGAAAAGGGCCTATGAAATGGAAGTTTTAATTATATTTTAAAAAGTCTCTTTGCCTCTCTGAATCTTGTTTTCTACTTAGGTCAATTAAGTGACCATCTGTTAACTCGTTTTGCTCATGATTGAGCATCACGGGTATGATTCAGATGGACTGTTGAAGTGGCCTCTTTCCTGGTTTCCTAGCTCCTTGCCCTTCCAGCAGCCGCCAGAGGGCGCCTGTGAGCACCCGAGTCAGGTCCAGTCCCTCCTCTGCCCACAGCCCTCCGGGGCTCCCACCTCCCTTGGGGTAAAAGCCCAAGTCCTCACCACAGCCCAAAGGACCCTGGATGACCTGCCCCATCCCCTCCCTGCCCTCACCCCTCCCTCTCTGCCCCTCACTCACTCTGTTCCAGCCACACAGGCTTCCTTGTTCCTTCGACACACCAGGCATGGTCCTGCCTCAGGGCCTTTGCACATGGCACATGCTGTGCCTTCTGCCTGGAATGCTCTTGCCCTACATACATACATGGCTCCTTCCCTCATCTTTTTATGTTTCAGCTCATGTGTCATCTTCTCAGCGACTACCCTATTTTTGACATCATGTTCCTTACCCCCAGCTCTCTAGGCTATCAGCTCAGTGAAGGTGGGGAATTTTGTGTCTTGTCCTACTTCTGAATTCACCATGCCTAGAAGAGTCCTGGAATACAGTAGGTGTTTATATAGTCAGTGTTTTCTAGAACCAATAGGATGGCTATATCTGTCATCTACATCTACATCTATCTATCATCTATCTGTCTGTCTGTCTGTCTGTCTATCATCTATCTATCTATCTATCTATCTATCTATCTATCTATCTATCTATCTATCTACTATTTCTCATCTACCATCTATCTATGTATATTCATATAGAAAGATTTATTATAAGAAATTGGTTTATATGATTATGGAGGATGGCAAGTCTCAAGACCTGCAGGGTGAGGTACAAATGTCCTGAGACTGGAAAGAATCTGAGGAACTGAGCATGGCTGTTGGGACAGGGCAGGAAATGAGGTTGGCAGGTGCCCAGTCACAGGGAAGTGGGTGGTGATTCTGGTTTGGAGTGGACTTGAGCTATGGGAAATTGAGCTAGACGAAGGAAGTACTGGGAAGTTCAGAATTGGGAGACCGCAAGTAGTAATATGCCGGAAGTCTGCAAAGCGAAATGTTGCCTTTGTAGATGAAAGAGGAAGCCGGAAATGGAAGGAAGATACAATCTGAGGGCAGGGAAGGGAATTAAACAAGACATTCATAAGAGGCAAAAAGCCTGAATCTTCAAGACTCTAATCATGACAATTCATCTCATGTTTTTAAGGCACTTTTCACAAAGAGCTTTCCCATGATACTCCATCCTACCAATTGATGTTGGCAATGTCATTAACTCCTCTTTTTCTCCTTCGCTATCCAATCCATTAGCAAATAGTCTTCGTGTTATATTCAGAATACATCCAGAATTTCATGCTTTCCACTGCGCCCACCTGGGTAGTATCCACCATTATCACTCGCGTGGACCAGTGCAGATGCTTCCCCGCTTGTCATTCTGCCTCTGGCCCCCTGCAATTTATCTTTCCCACCAGAAGGACTATGTTAAAACTTAAGCCATGCTCTGTCTCTCCTTTGCTCTAAACTCTCCAATGGCTCCCATGTCTCTCTGATAAAAAGCGGAAATCTTACAATGGTCTAGCAGGTCCTACATAGTCTGGTCGTATTACCTCCTCTGACCCTTCCCTCATCCACTCTGCTCTAACCACTCCAGCCTGCAATCACTAGGCATCATCTTCAGAGACTTTGCACTTGCTGTTTCCTCTGCCTTAAATAGACTCAAGTCTTTCTTCACATGTGACCTTCTCAGTGAGGTCTTTGTGATTGAACAATGACTATGCACCAGGCACTATTCTATGCCCTTAGGACACAGCAGTAAGTAAGATAGACACAACACGCTGTTTCTGGGAGCTCACAGTCCACTAAGGCAGCAGACTTGAAACAACTGATTGCAAAAATTTTTCCATAGAATTTTCTTAGAAATTGCCTGAAAATCTATTCTCTTTCCATTCAGACCTACATCTCCTAGTGTAGCAGTAGTGAAAGTCATGCACTTAGGGGTTCGACTCGGGTAAGTCACGTAACCTCTCTGAGCCTGTTTTCCACATCCGTACAATGGGGATGGTATCAGTTTCCTACTGCTGCTGTAACAAATGACCACAAATGTTGTGGCTTACATCAACAAAAACATTATCTTTCAGTTCTGGAGGTCACAAGTCTGAAATGGGTCCCATTGGGCTGAAATCAAGGTGTCGGCAGGGCTGGTTTCTTTCTAGACGTTCTGGGGAGAATCTATTTTCTTGCGTTTTCCAGCTTCTAGAGGTCAGCTGTATTCCTTGGCTCATGTCTCCCTTCCTCCATCTTCACATCAATGCAATGGCTGGTCAAGTCTTTCTTGCATTACATTACTTTGACTCTGCCTTACCTGGCTTCATCTTTCACTTATAAAGACCCTTTTAATTACATTGGTTCCTCCTGGAAAATCCTGGATGGCCTCTCCATCTCAAGATCAGCTGATTAACAATCGTAATTCTATTTGAAAACCTGAATTCCCCCTTTCCATATAACATATTCACATGATCCAGGGATTGAGCTGTGGTCATCTTTGGAGGAGCTGTTATTCTATTGAACATAGGAATTGTAATATCCAATGAGTGTCTTCCTTAGCACCTGGGAGCTTGCTTCTACCTGTGGCTTTGTCCTCCTGGAGCTCACGGTGGGGTGGAGGAGATGATCACTGAAGAGCTAATCACATAAATAATTGAGCAGTTATAATTGTGATAAGTGTCACAAAGGAGCACAGGAAGCTATGAGGAAGTCAAGGAAGGCTTCTTGGAGGAAGCGACATTTAAGCAAGACCTGAAGAATGAATGAGTAGGAGCTGGCCAGGTAAAGCAGAGACAAAGAGAGCAGCACATGCAAGGCCCTGTGGTGAGAAGGCTAGAAATGGAGACTGAAATGAGATGAGGCTTAAAGATGTGGTTGGGTCTGGTCATGGGGCTTTTTGGGTCATGCTCAGTAATTCAGACGTTAACTCTGAGTGCAACAGGGCAGGTTATGTGAAGGAATGGGGGCAGATGGTCAAATTTGCATTTAAAGATGTTTGCAGGGCATAACGGGTATATACGAATGTACAATCCAGAGGAAGATCTGTATCAAGCATAACTGGAGGTGGAGAGAAGTATGTAGATGTCAAATGATATTTTGGAAAGAGAATCAATGTGGCCGGAACTCATTGGCTGTGAGGGTGAGGGCTAAACAGGTAAACTGAGGTACAGAGAGGTGAAACCACCAGTCGCAGGGCTGGATCGGCTAGGATGTATCTCAAGTTCCTCCCCATACCTGCTGAATCAACATCTGATTTTCTGAGCTCCCCTGGGGATCCCAGGCGAGGCAGAGGTGACTGGTTTGGAGACTTCCCTTGGAGCAGTAAGGGCCTGGGTGAGCGCGTCTCAGGGTTCCAGGGCCCACGGATCACCTGAGAGTCTTGTTAACATGCAGTTTCTGATCCAGTAGATCTGGCGCAGGGCCCGAGAGCTTGCATTTCCATTCAACTTCCTGCCGATGCCGCTGGCCCAGGGCCTGAACTTTGAGGAGGACGGCTTTAGGGTCTGCGAGGTCCTCGATGAGCACCTTTGGTGGCAGTGTCAGTGTTCGAGGACTGCTACAACAAATTAAACAGAACAGAGGTTTATCCTCCCATAGCTGTGGGGGCCAGAGGTCTAAAGTCAAGGTGCTTTCTCTAAAGGCTCTCGGGGAGAATCTCTTCTGTGCCCCTTCCAGTTTTTAGCGTTGCCGGCAATCCTTGGTGTTCCTTTGCTTGTAGATGCATCACTGCAATCTCTGCCTCCATCGTCACATGGTCTCTGCCTATGTCTCGGTACCTCTCCTCCTTTTCTTATAAGGACACCAGTCATATCAAACTAAGGGACCACCTTACTCCAGTGTGACCTCCTCTTAACTTACATCATAATGTCATCTACACTGTTTCTAAATAAGGTCACATTCTCAGGGTTTAGGACTTCGACATATCTTTGTGGGGGACGAAATTCAAGCCCCAACAATCACCTTCGCCCTCCCACACTGGCTTTCTTTGCGGCCCCACTTTGGCACTCTGACCCCAGCCCTTCCTTCTGTGTTGCCTAGGTGTGAATGAGTGCAGTGACAGCACCACATGCCCAGCTTACGCCACCTGCACCGACACTGCGGAAAGTTACTACTGCACTTGCAAACGAGGCTTCCTGTCCAGCAGCGGACTGAACCAGTTCACAGGCCCAGGCGTGGAATGCAATGGTGAGTTCACACCCCCTCAACATCCTTCGGCATTTGGTAGAAAATCATGTGGAAGCTGGTAGATGTAGGTACTTTGTCTTTTTACCCAAACACAATTCCCTCTTCCCCCTCCTTCCCTCCCCCTACCTTCCTTTCCCTTCCCCCACCTTCCTTTCTCTCTCTCTCTCTCTTTCTTTCTCTGAAAAGAATTTTGAGGGCAGAGGCTGAAACTAATAATTCTTCTAGATTCCCCTTGGAATTGATTGTCACTTGACTGAATGTTGTCTAATGACATGATGCCATTTCAAGTGGAGGATGCTTTTGTCCCTGTTCAAGGACAAACTACAAGAAAAACAGAAGTAGTACCTTCAATAAACAACTGTTTTTGGCAAGCCTGCTACTTCTGAGACTGTACCAGTATTAACCTACTGGCCTGAATCACAGAGCATGCCCCTTCCTTCTTCCCTCTCTCCCTCCCTCTCTTTATTTCCTTCCTTTCTTTCCACCATGAAATTCTGGTCACTGAAATTTCCAATGATTAGACACTAGCATCCAATGAAAATAAAAATAAAAATCATGCTATTTGTCAATATCCAGAAACAGGTTGTGGGCTGGATTTGACTGTGTGGCTATAGTTTGCTGAATAAGATAACTCATTCTTATCATTGTAATTCCCAGGGAGCCCCAAACATCCTTCTTTGGGCTATAGTTCATGGGTTATTCAGTGAACTCGGTAGTGCTGTTGGGCCCTGGATTTTAAATTTGGGGGTGAAATTAACATTCCCTATATATAAAATGATGGATTCTGTCCACTCTATGTCTTTGATTCCCAGTACAGTTCCCGATACATTATGAGTATTCCATAGATATTTGTCGAATGAAGGAATATGTTACCTTATTCTTTATGTCAACTCCAGATTTAATCGACTTGTTATTGACTTGGGTTATTTCTAATATTTGGCAACTTCAGAGCTGGAATGAACAACCTCATGATCTTATCTTCGTGTACAGTGGCAACTCCAAGTTTCTCTTTAAGAGAGGTGCAGTTTGCTGGGAGAGAGCTATAGAAGACTTGTCTTGAAGTTTTATTTGTGCGACAAGCACATAGCAAGTGTTTATTTAGGCTGGCTTGACAGAACAGGGTTGAAGGAGACTTGGTGAGGGCCACCCATGGCACTACAACTGCACAATTCTATGGGTGCCTTAAGGAGTAAATTCCTAGAGATGGCTTTGCAAGATGTTCTTTACTGGGTAATAAACCACCTGCAAACTTAGTGCATGAAACAACAACAACCATTTATTTTTTCTCATGAACACATCTACAATTTGGGCTGAGTATGATGAGGATGGCTTGTTTCTGTTCCACACAATGTCAGTTGAGTTGCCACTTTGAAGAGGGCCCACTCACAAGGCTGGCAAGCTGGTGCTGGCTGTTGTCTGGCTGTTCTACCAGGGATCTGGGCTGGAGGTCTTAGTTCTTCTCCAGTGGGCTGTTTTGTCATGGCTGGTTGGGCTTTCTCACAGTATGGTGGCTAAGTTCTAAAAATGAGCATCTCAAGAGAACAAGGTGGAAGTGCATGACATTTTTACAACATAGCATGTTTATGACCTTGTGTCACTTCCACTATAGTCACAAACATGCTTAGATTCAAGGGGAGGGCATAGACCCAGCTTGGTGAAAGGGGCACCAAATTCACCTTGAATGAAGGGCATATGGAATGTTACAACCAACTTTGGAAAATACTATCTTTTATACAAGATGAGACAAATTTGTAACTCTGACTCTTTCTCTGTCCAGATATAGATGAATGTTCTCTAAACTCCTCACAATGTGGCCCTAACTCAGTCTGCAAAAACATGCCGGGAAGATACAAGTGCAGCTGCTTGCCTGGCTTTTCTTCTCCCACTGGTAATAACTGGAGCCCGGGCAAGCCAGGTCATTTCTCTTGTACAGGTAATACTCACAGGTTCCGCGTGGGTCTTTGGTGGACAGCTACCATTGAGCTGGGCACATGTATTTCTAACCTTAGACAGACAGTCTTACATATGTTCACTCTCCTCCATTGCTCCTCAGACATTGATGAATGCCTCAACAGTAGGCTCTGCCCAGAGCATTCTGAGTGTGTCAGCTCTTTGGGAGGCAGCCATTGCCAGTGTCAAGATGGATTTGTCTTCATCAACTCCCTTTGTAAAGGTATGGGGCCCCTGTTCTTTATTTATGTACTTGATGAAGAATCACTTCATTTGATGATCTTATGAGGTAGGGATGATGAGCCTCATTTTAGAAATGAGAAAATTGAAGATCAGAGAGATGAAGTCACTTGCTCAAGGACACACGCTATTAAAGTGGAAGAACTGGGATTTGAATTCCTGTTGAGAGCCTATTACTTGAGAGTGCGGTGGTCTCTGTCTCTAGAGTGATCTTTTCCCCAGGGGACGTAGGCCATGCCCAGAAACATTTTTGGTGGTCACAACTGGCGGTGGTGGTGGGGTTATGTGTGCTACTGTCATCTAGTGGTTAGAGGCCAGAGATGCTGCTAAATACCCTACAATGCACAGAACAGTCTCTCCACAATAAAACAAATTTTGTCTGAAGGTGGGGCAAAGGTGTGATGGCCACATAATAAGAAGCTATCTTCATATAGAAGAACAATGCAGGCAACTCCATAGAACAGAAAATAATTTATGGTAGTGTAATTTACTTACAGGAAGATTGGGTCGGAGCAGAACAGATAACCCAGCAGCTTGCAGATACCAGACCCTTGTTACAGTACTTTTTAATAGCATAGCTTGAATACTAATGATTGACAAGACAAAGGGACAGAGAATACAGCAGCACCTCCTTGTCTTGTGATCAGTGATTGCTTATAATTGATACTATTAGCAGTTCAATATTTATCTCAGTTGTCATGCCATTCTGGCTGTTACTAACAAAAATATTTGTGGCTACATTTTAAGGACACGGAAGGTTCATGAATTAGAAGGCTTTGATATGCTTGATAAGCACAGTGAGGTTTTTCACAGCATGGAAATTAAAAAATGAAACGAAATCTAGGACATGAAATAGAGTTGGTTTTGTTCACATCTACATCTATATGAAAATGATCCCATCCCACATGTCAGTAGTTCTAAGGCAGAGAAACTCTGTCCTGGGGACACCCAAACCTTGAATTTTCTCTGAAAAGGTATTTGAATTAAGACCTGAGAGTTACCCTTGACCCTCCCACTCCTTCCCTATCAAGTCAGTCATCATACCTTGGGGAATCAACCTGCTAAATAGATCTCGAATCTCTCCATTCTTTTCCGTCTTCACGATTGTTGCATTGGCCTCTCTCTTTCTTCAGTCTTGCCCTATTGAATCCATCCTCCACACTGCAGCCAGAATATTCTCACCAAGAGACAGGACTCCATCTTCCTGAGTCTGGTACAGCTCTGTATTCTCCACATTTATTTATAGAAGATGACTTCATTAAGCAAAGCGTGGAGTGATCAAACCTCATCATATCCCCTTGGTTTGGAGTCAGAGATACTTAAAGTCATCTCTGTTTTTTTTAAATCCAGGGGTCCCCAATCCCTGGGCTGCAGACTGGTACCGGTCTGTGGCCTGTTAGGAACTGGGCCGCACAGCAGGAAGTGAGCAGTGGGCAAGCGAGCGAAGCTTCGTCTGTATCTGCAGCTGCTCCCCAGTACTAGCATCACCGCCTCAGCTCCACCTCAGATCATCAGGCATTAGATTCTCAGAGGAGGGCCAAAAGGTTGGGGACCGCTGCTTTAATCCATTTGCAGCAGTTAGCCAATGTCAGTGGCTAAAAACAACCACCATTTATTTAACTCTCAATTCCATGCCTTGGCAGTCGAGAGTGGGCTCTGCTGGTCAGTCCTTCAAGTCTCAACTGGGCTTGTTTGTGAGTCTGCGGTCAGCTTGGGGTCCACTTTGCTGATGTTGGCCAGGCTGTCTCATGTATCTGGGGATAATCCATTTCTCTTCCACTTTGTCTTTCATTTATTAGGACAGGCTAGGGCTTGTTCACATGCAGAAGTCCCAAGAATGCGCAGAAACAAACAAGCCTCTAGAGGTTTAAGTTTAGAACTGAAGCCATATCACTTCCACTGCATTCTTTTGGCCAATGCGAGTCATAGGGACAACTATGATTCAAGTGGTGGGGAAACAACTCTAAATCTTAGAGTGAGAGAGTCATGTTACATTACACAACCCACATCCCAAGGTGTAGATACAGGGAGGAGTAAAAGATCAGGAACATTTCTGCAATCTATGATCGTTGTTTTGAAACTACCATCCTTTTGCTTACACACTGCTGTCCAGAATTTATTCTCTTGAGCATGCCTCACTGAGTGGGAGATGAGGAAGGAGGGGAGAACAGTGGTATTGGGGAGCATCAGCACTGCGTATGCCCCAAGAGCATGTAGAGTGGATCTCCTGTTCTCAGTTTCTGTCTTCAGTTCCTCATGGGCCTTGATCCTGGTTTTCATCTCCACTTACCAGATGTGGATGAATGTGCCAATCCCAGAGCTTGCCCGGAGAACACGACTTGCCATAACAGTCTTGGAAGCTATTCTTGTGTCTGCAACCCAGGATTTGAATCCAGCACTGGAAACATAAGTTTCCATGGCCCTGGAGGGACATGTAAAGGTAGGTGAAGGGGTCTGTTGGGGACTCAGGTCCATGTCTGTCTGCAAAGACAGCAGTGGTGAGGGAGTAGTCAGGGTGAACCCAAGCTGAGTTCAAAGCCTTTATTGGCAAAGCTGAAGCCAATCATCATTCTTTCATTCACTCATTCAACAAATACTTCCTGAGCACCTACCATGCATGAGGCACTTGGATATTAGGCCCTTAGGGACAGTGGATATAGTGGTGAAAGACACAGGCAAAAACATTTGTTCTCCTATAACTTTTCATCTAGCATGGAGGGACACAGATAACAAACAAAATAAATGCATGAACATGTTGTGTGTCAGGAACAGCTAAAAGAGATGAAGACAAATAAGGCAGGAAAGACAGATAGAGTGCTTGGGGTGGGGTTCTAATTTTAATGGAAGAAAGGCCATGCTCAGAAGTTGGTATTTGAGAAAAGGTTTGACAGAAGTGGGAGAGTGAGATATTGAGTATCTGGGGAGGGGTGTTCCTGGAGGCAGGTCCTCAGCCAAGGCGCTAAGCTCCCCCATGTGTGACCCCTTTCAGTCTTCCCAACAACCTGGTGGTGTCGGTTACATTTTATACCCATTTTAGAGATTAGGAAACAGAGCCTCCATTGTGGTAGAATCACTCTCCCAAAGTCAAATAGACAGGATGTAGGAAAGGCAGGTTCTGGACTGTGCATGGGTGTGACTTCACACCCCATACTCCCAAGTGGTGTGTTACCTTGAAGTCAGGCTGCAACCTCTGGCCACTAAGAGTGGGCATGGATTCTCCAAATTCATCACCATATTTCCACACTCCAAGACTCAAGAAAGCCTGTGAAGCTGTCATCTAAACATTCCAGAGTCAGGCAGAACCTGGATTTTTTTAAAAATTAAGTTTATTGGGGTAACATTGCTTAACACAATTATATAATTTTCAGGTGTACATTATAATTTGACATCTGTATATTCTATTGTGTGTTTACCACCCAAAGTCCAGTTTCCTTCAACTACCATATATTTGATCCCCTTTACCCACTTCGCGTTCCCCCTACTCCATGTATTTGACCTCCTTTACCCAGTCTGCCTCTCCCCTCCTCCCCGACCCCCTACCATCTGGCAACCACTAACTAGTCTATAGTCCGTGTCCATGAGTCTCTGTTTGATTGTCCTGTTCGTTTGTTGCTTTTAGGTTTATATCCCACATATAAGTGATATCATGTGATTTCAGCTTTTTCTGTCTGGCTTATTTCACTTAGCATGATTATCTCAAGGTCCATCCATGTTGTTGCAAATGGCAGTATTTCATCTTTTCTTATGGTCAAGTAATATTCCATTGTATATATGTACCACAGCTTCTTTATCTGATCATCTATTGTAGGACACTTTGGTTGCTTCTATGTCCTGGCCACTGTGAATAATGCTGCTATGAACATCAGTGTGCAAATATCTTTTTGGATATGGGTTTTCAAGTCTTTGGGGTAAATACCCAGCAGAGGGATTGCTGGATCATATGGTAGATCAATTCTTAGTTTTTTGAGGAACCTCCATACTGTTTTCCACAGTGGCTGTACCAATTTGCAGTCCCACCAGCAGTGTATGAGGGTTCCTTGTTCTCCGCATCTTCTCCAACATTTGTTATTACTTGTCTTGCTGATTATAGCTATTCTAACAGGTGTGGGATGGTATCTCATTGTGGTTTTGATTTGAATTTTCCTAATTGCTAGTGATGTTGAGCATTTGTATTTGTTGGCCATTTGTATTTCCTTTAGGGAGAAGTGTCTGTCCAAGTCCACTTCCCATTTTTCGATTGGATCTTTTTTTTTATTGTTGTTGTTGTTATTGAGTCGTATGAGTTCTTTGGATATTAGGCCCTTATCAGAAACATTGCTTGCAAATATATTTTTCCATTCAGGTGGTTATCTCTTTACTTTGTTGATGATTTCTTTTGCTGAAGCTTTTTAGTTTGATGTAGTCCTATTCATTTATTTTAGCTTTTACTTCCCTTGTCTTTGAGGTCAAATCCATAAAAACCTCTTTAAGTCCAAGGTCCTTGAGTTTCATTTCTATGTTTTCTTCTATGCATTTTATTGTTTCAGGTCTTATATTCAGGTCCTTAATCTATTTTAGTTGATTTTGGTGTGTGGTGAAAGACAACAGTCTAGTTTCATTCTTTTGCAGGTGGCTTTCCAGTTTTCCCAGCACCATTTATTGAAGAGGCTTTCCTTTCTTCACTGTTCGTTTTCGGCTTTTTTTTTTTTTTGGTCAAAAATTATTTGCCCATATAAATATGGGTTTTCTTGTGGACTCTTGATTCTGTTCCACTGGTCCATGTGTCTGTTTTTCTGCCAATACCATGCTGTTTTGATTACTGTCATTTTGTAGTAAAATTTGAAGTTGGGCAGAGTGATGCCTCCCGCCTCAGAACCTGGATTTAAATCATCATTGTGCCTTTCATGAGCTATGTGATGCTGCATAATTCTGAAGCCTCAGTTTCCTCCTTTGAAAAATGGGGATAATATGAAGATGCATCTCACAGGGCTGCTCTGAGCACTCATTGAGCAGATGCATGTAAAGTCTACCTTGGTGCCTGGCTCAAAGAAGCTCAACATGTTGATTTTTAATTTTAGTTAATGAATCTTTACATAATGCTTGCTGTGCTACAGATTCTGAGTACTTTACAGATATTACCTTGTTGAATCCCCTGAACAACTTTATTGGGTGGATTCTGTTATTATTCCCATTTGACAAATGAGGAAATTGAGGCACACAGATAAATTCTCTTGTCCAATGTGTTATTTCAAGCTGCCGTAATGCAACATCATAGACAGGGGCTTAAACAATAGATGTTTACTTCTCACAGTTCTGAAGGCTGAAGGCTGAGATTGGGGTGCCAGCATGTTTGGGTTATGATGAGGGCCCCTTCCTGGCTTTCAGATAAACACTTTTTTGCTATGTCCTCACAGAGCATGGAGAGAGAGAGAGCTCTTCTTGTGTGTCTCTCTTCCAAGGGCACTAATCCCATTATGAGAGCCCCACCCTAATTACCTCATGTCCAAATACCATTTCATTGGGGGTTAGGGTTTTAATATATGAATTTGGGGGGAGAAAATTCAGTCCATAGTGTCCACTAATGCACAGCTTATAAGGGACAGAGCCAAGCTTTGAACCTAAGATGCCCATGCTCTCCAGCCCTTTACTCTGATGCTACCCAGCTGCTGTCATCATTAGTGATGTAGTGGCTCCTTGGAGGACAATTGAGATTCACCAGAGAAAGAAGGGAGTGAGTGAGTTTGAGGTTACGGGAACACAGGTGAGAGAATGAGCATTCACAAACCTATAGGCAATCAGTGAGTCTAAATCACAAGTTACAAAGTGATTAGAAGCAAAAGATGAGGTAGGCAAGCTTAGCTTGGAGCAGACTCTCAGGGCCCCACATGTTCTAATGAGGAGTTTGGGTTCTAACCTGAGAAGCGGGCAGGGAACCTCGTCAGAAGGGTTGCGTGGGTCGTAAACATGCCTCTTGGTGCTTCCTTTACACAGTGATAAAAGTGTGTAAGAAGTTGAGACAGGGGCCGGGGCACCCAATGGCTTTTGTCACTGGTGGGGCCGTATACTGTTGCTGCAGCCTCAGCATCCTTCATCCTTTTGACTTAGACTATTTTTCTGCTTAGATGTGGATGAATGTTCCAGAAACTTGACTCTTTGTGGTCCTAATTCCGTCTGCACGAACATCCCGGGAGAATATCGTTGCTCCTGCCTGCCCGGGTTCATTTCACCTGATTTTTGGAGCCCCAAGCAACCAGAGGCTTTCAAATGTACAGGTAATTCTCCCAGCCATGTGAAGGATGTCGAATGACCCTGAAATATAGTGGCTTCTAACAACAACGCTTTGTTCCCGCTCATGATTTTATGGGTTGACCACAGGGTTTTCTGGAGCTCTGGTGTGGTGGGCAGGTCTGCAATGACCTCACTTACATGGCCAGTAGTTGGTGCTGGTCTCTGGCTGGGAGCTAGGTGGCCTCCAGCTTTCACCGGGGGGGGGGGCTTTCTGCATGGCTGCTTAGGCTTCCTCATAGCAAGGCATCTGGTCTACAAGAAGAAAAGTTATAAGAGGAAAAGGCAGAAATGTCAGTCTTCATTAGGCTTGGGCTTGAGAGTCCCAGAACATTGCTTCTACCACATCCTATTGATCATAGTCACAGGGCCAGCCTAGGTTCAGAGTAAGAAGAAATAAACTCTCAGTCTTCGGGAGTCAGGAGTGGGGAGGCGAAGTGAAAGGGAGGTGGGGGGTGTGGTAGGGGGTAAGGAGGGGCATAGAGGAAGGAGAAGGGGGTGATGGAGGCCGTCCTTGGAGTATCTACGACACTGCAGAACACATTTTCTGTTCCTCAGCCCCCAGGGGGAAATTCATGCTTCTTTTCATTGGAAATGTTCCATTTCTTCTTATTGATCTTCACCAGCTGCTGACATTGTTAGAAGCAGAATGATAGAGTGATAAAGTTGAAGGGGACCTTAGAGAGATTAATACAGTTCTAAGGGCTCCTAGGAACCTACTCAGAATCTTTATCAAGGGCAAGAAAACAAAACCATGGACTTCCACCCCTCTTCCAGTCAAATCATCACTTCTTTTATTTGTCTTACCTTTTCAGGTTTCATTTCATGTGAAGGAAGGTTTCCTCAGCAAAAAAGTTTTGAAAACCATGTACCTAGTTTAGCTTCATAAGCAAAATGTAAATTCCATCTGTGCTATTTCTGACAAGAGCTCACCTAGTTGATGCTTAAATCTGTCTGGGAGTGAGGAGCTCACTCCTTGGTTAGAGATGTTTTCTGTGACACCAAGAGAAAAACCACTTCTCATATCTTCCAACCACAGGCCATTTTCATGTCTTTTGATGAACTGATTTGATGACTCCAAATTAGTCTACATTCATATCACAAAGACTTCTCACCCCAACTCACCATGGTGATGCCCAATGCAGTGTATTATATACCTGCATAAGTGATTAGATAATGTTGCCTATTTATTTCTCTTGTTCTGTGAGTTGACACAGAAATATGAAAGGTTTTGTTTTTACCTTCCTCCTAATTATTTTTTCCAGGATGTCTGATTCCATATATTCTCTGTGTCCCAGGAACCTTCAGGGGAGAGACAACCCTGTAATGACTCAGTGACCTGACATCAACCTGTATTTGTTAGGCCAGGGTTTCTCAACCTTTGCCATATTGATATTTTGGGATGGATAGTTCTTTGTTGTGGGGGGCTGTCCTGGTAGTGTCTTTGGCCTCCACTCACTTGTTGCCAGTAGCACCTCCCTCCTCTGGTCATGACAACCAAAAATGTCTCCAGACATTGTACAATGTCCCCTGGGAGGCAAATCACTCTCAAGTGAGAACCACTAGCTTAACATAATAGAAATTTCTTACTCTCATAATAATCCAATATGGATGTCTTTGGCCAATGGGGAGCTTTCCTCCACAAGGTGATATAGAGGTCCAGTTTTTTCACATCTCTTGGTTTTTCTATCCCTTAGGACCTTGCAGTCCCTGGCCTAGCCAGTGGTGGAGGGAGAGAGAAAGCATGCCCACTTCTTGACCGCCTTGGCCCAGAAGTGACAAATGTCATACCCTTTCACATTCCATAAGTGAAGACTGATCACATGGCCCCATCTAGATACAGAGGGCTCTGAGAAATGTAGACTCTGGTTGAGCTGCCACTATTTGAGCGACGACTTTATGTTTCAGAAGAGGAAGCATGACTTTTGTTGGATTGTTGGCTAGCTCTACTTCATGTCCATTCTCTACTCCATAGATATTGATGAGTGCCTGGATATGTGTCTTTTCAATGCGACATGTACCAACATCCCTGGGAGCTACTTTTATAACTGCCAACCAGGATTTGCACTAAGCAATAGGCAGCTGACCCCTAAATAATACCTTGTTTAGCTTTGTTTGCTTTGAAGCTTTATAAAACATCTCAGAGTCCCTGATGTTGTAGTGGGTATTTCTACCCTTGTATATTATGGCAAGGGATGAATTTTAAGCAGCGAGTAAAGACATCAGGCTTGCTTTTAATCATATTGTGCTGTGGTTAAGTTTGATTTGGTTGCTTTTGTTTTCTTCCTAGCGGTTCCTTTCAAGTGTAAAGAAGACATGATACCCAACAATGAACAGGTCCAGCGGTGCCAAGTGGGTGCAGCATTGGGGTCTGAATATGTAAGTATTTTTGAGGTTTCTAGCTCTTGAGGTTTTCCTAGAAGCCACTTAAGTAGATGTTATTTGCATCTTTAACAAAGGCAAAAATAAGAGTGGCCTAAACCAGACAGCAGTTTACTTCTCTCTTTGAGTGTAAGCTGCTGAGAGCTGATATGATGCTTTGCCATCATTGACACTGGATTCTCTCATTGTGCTTCAGAACGGCTGCTGCAGCCCCTGCCGTCATGGCTGCATTCCAGCTGGTGGGCAAGGGAGAAAGGGAAGTGAAAGGCACTGTCCTTCCCTTTAAGAGTATAACCCAGTATCACTTCGCTTATACCTTGTTGGCCAGAATTTAGTTACATTGTCACACCCAGCTACAAGAAAAGCTGAGAAGGGAGGACATTCACCTCTTTAAAACTTGGGGATTCTCTTACTAAAAGAAGAAAGGATGTTGAGGTCTCACTACCAGTGCAGGTGTTGGTGCTGCATGTGTGTGATATGGGACGGGTGACATGCAGCTCCCAGGTCAGGTGAAGAAGAACATAGAGATCCCGATTCTCTGATGAAGCTGTCACAGTGAATCAGGTCTCCGTGAGCACCTTCAAGAATTGATGTCGCTATTTGAAATCTGAGTTGACAAATTAGCTTTGGAATTCCCATGTACTTTGGACCACTGTTGTTGTTTTTTAAATCGTGGTGAAATAAACATAAAAAAACCTCACCATTTTAGCCATTGTAAAGTGTATAGTTGTTAGGCAAAATAATTCTTGGTACTTAACGTGACCCATGCCATCTAACAAAACAAGCTGACCACCAATGCACTCCAAGAGCGGTGGGCCCATATCACCTGAAAGGAATGTTCTTGCCTAGATAAGAGGGCCTATTAAGTTGTTTCCTGCTTTGGATTATACAGCATTTAACAAGCACATGCCACATGGCTACAAGCCATCTGCATTAGCCTGTGGCACTTGGCTATAAGCCACCTGCTTAGCAAGCACTGGCTATAAGCACCTGTGTTGTTGCGGGCTGTATGTATCAAACCTTTCTGGTGCCGAGATCTAGCATCTTGCTGCTGCCCACAGACGCTGCTTCTGTCTATAAGTTACCTTAATAAACTCTTGATAACCTTCTGGAGTTGTCAGCCTCTTTCAGTCTCTTGGCACCAGGAAATTTTTGCAACAATGGTGAGCCAGCCTGGAGACCTGGAAAATGGGAAAGGAGAAAGAAACTTCCTGGGGTATACCCTGGGTATAACCTCTATGTGGGGAGGGGTAGCCCCTATGTTTGGTGCTTGTGGCCCACAGCATGGGTACAGGGACCCCTGAAAATGCAGGCTGGTTGGGAGCATCTGCTTGCTGAGTGTCATCTGCTTTATTGCGGTAAGGTAGGGCTCTATACAAGAGACTTTAACAATCAGAGAATACCCCCTGGCTGAATTGCTAGATATTGTGGCTAAATTTCAACAAAAGCTGTGAGAAAGCCTTTCAACTTGAATGGTGAGGCTTTGGGACACAGGGGCTGATAGGATCTCTTTCTGCCATCCTGAAGGAGAAAAAACGAATAAGCGCACTATTCACCTGGTCCTGAGGCATCATCTACATGGCTGGCCCCAAGGAAATCATTATTTAATGGTCTGGAAAATAATGGGATGCTGGGAGCCTGGCCAGATGAGGGAGATCTACCAGGACCTGCCAGCTCCTGGAAGTCCGTAGAGGAAGTTCAAGTTTTGTTGCTGGAAGTAGGCATGAGACAGGCTATCTGTACCGAGGTGTTTCAGGAGCCCACAAAGCTGTGTTTTCTGCTGGTGGGAGAAAACCGCCTTTTGCAGGCAGCCCCCCAAAGTGGTATAGCCCGTTAATTTCCCTTTTAAGTCCGATAATCAGAGCAGATGTCTGATGTGGGAGAATCCATGGCAGTTTTAGGCGATACTGAGCAGCGCTGAAATTGGGGCTGCCTAGTACTAAAAAGGAGACTCAAGGGGCCTGCACCCCAAAGAGTAAATCTAATCACGAGGGGCTCATATGTGTCACCCCTAAAAGAGATGGCATGATGTAGTAACCAGTAGAACCCCGTAGGAAGGACAGACGACCTGAAGCAGTTCTAGTGGGACAATAAAAAGTTACGCCAGGACCAGCAACTCCAGCCTCTCCCTCTGGCCCCTCTGGTCACTGCCAAAGACAAGAGGGAGCCCTGGTCCCAGTCCACCATTGAATTTGCCATCTGGGTGCCCTCTGTTTCCTGAGACTAAGGGTGGGGCCAACATCACCCACAAATAGGAGCGATGGGGGTAACTACAGGCCTCACATAGAAATCACAATATGTTGGTCCCCCGCTGCCCTTATAGATAGAGGTGCAGAGTAAACCCTCATACATGGCAACCCTGAAAAATTTTGAGGAACTTGGGCTGCCATGAATGAGTGTGGGGGCAAAGGCAGTTCAAATAAAAGTTTTATTATCCATCCAGATAGGGTGCACTCCTGTTCAGTGTTCGTTTCCCCAATTCAGGAAAATATTTTGGGAATAGCTGGTCTCTTGGGAAAGACATTACAGACAATGAGTGGAGGAATTTCATCTCCAAGTGCAGGCAGTGAAGTCCACCTTGAGAGGCAAGGCACACTGGGAACCTGTCAACCTCTTTCTTTGGTCTCTGGGCTTTGGGAAATTTTGACAATGATTCAGGAACATTAGTATTCTCACAATGGTGTGTAACCACCACCTCTATCCCCCAAACATTCTCATAGTCCCCAAGAGAAGCCCTGTATACATTGATTTACTGCCCATTCCTCCCCCAGCCCCTAGCCCCTGGTAAATACTAATCTACTTTATATCTCCATAGATATGGCTGTTCTGGACATTTTATTTCAATGAAATCACACACTGTGTGGCCTTCTGTGTCTGGCTTCTTTCACTGAGCTTCGAGTGTTCAGAGTTGTAGCGAGTGTCACGTCACTCCTTTTCATGGCCAAGCAATGTTCCGTTAGACACTGATTTTTTTTTTCACAAATTTCCCCATCTTTTTACCCCACTATAGTTTTGCTTTTATGTTTATGTTTACTTTTTTTATTCATGGAAGAGAAAGGTGTTGTGGTTCCAATTTTAATGAAATCATGATTTTTTAAAACTTAATTTTTATATTTTTATTTTTTTTCAATTCTAGTTGATATAAAATATTATATTAATTTCAGGTGTACAACAATGATTACACATTTATATAACTTACAAAGTGATTATCCTGATTAATCCAGTACTCATCTAACACCACGCATAGTCATTACACTACTACCAACTACATTCCCCAGGCTCTACTCTACATCCCCACGACTATTTTCTTAATTTTCTTAATGCCTCTTAATCCTCTCCCTTCTGACAATCATCAAAATGCTCTCCATATCTATGACCTTGTTTCTATTGTTTTATTTTTCCTGTTCTCTAGATTCATCATGTGCCATTTGTCTTTCTCTGTCTGACTTACTCCCCTCAGCATGATACCCTCTAAGTCCATCCATGTTGTTGCAGCTGGCGAGATTTCATTCTTTTTATGGTTGAGTAAATTCTTGCACATATGTACTGTCTCTTCTTTATCCATTCATCCATTGATGAACACTCAGGTTGCCTTCACCTTGGCTACTGTAAATAATGCTGAAATGAACATATGGATTCACATGTCCCTTCAAAGTAGTGTTTTGGGTTTCTTCAAATAAACACCTAGAAGTGGGATTACTAGATCTTTCTTTGTCTCTTGTTATAGCCTTTGTTTTAAAGTCTATTTTGTCTTGTATAAGTATTGCTACCCCAGCTTTTTTTTTTGTTTGCTTCCATTTTCATGAAACACCTCTTAAAAAATCCCTTTACTTTCAGTCTCTGTGTATCTTTTGATCTAAAGTGAGTCTCTCTTTTTTTTCTTGTCTTTTTTTAAAAAAAATATTTTTTTATGGTTACATTGGTTAACGAAATTCAGTAAGTTTCAGCTGTACATTTTAACACTGTATGTCCACCTCTCATAGTTAAATTTCTTTCTGTCACCACATATTTGACCCCCTTTTACCCCATCGACCTCTTCCCTCCTCTCTTCCCTCTTCCCTCTGGTAACCACTAGTCTATTGTCCATGTCCGTGATATGAAGGAGAAATAAAGACCTTTCCAGACATACAACAATGGTTGCATAATTTTTTGAGGTTCTTTCCAGCTCTAACAATTCATCACCCATATAGCACACTCATATAATTATTTCAATAATCTATTCATTATATCCTGCTTGCCTTTGCTTGCTGTAATACTTTTAGATAATAATTGCACAGAATTAATAGAAACCAGAGAAATTGTTCAGATTTTTTTTTTAACACAGGGATTGAGCAATATGCTTATGTACATAATTACCCTTTTTTTTTCTTCTTTGTAGTCTAAGAGGGCATATTAAAAAGCTGGCAGTGATTTTTTTTCCCCTCCTGTTGGCTCAAGAAACTGGCTAATGCAGTTTTATGTTAATTCGAAGACTTCCGAAATAGCACAGCAGCTAAAAGAAAGAGAAGCACTCCGTTATAAAAAGTGCTTTTTAATCACCTCTCCAAATTTGAGTGTC